CCTTCGCGCGGGCAAAATGCGAAGGACCAACACCCCGGGGGAGGAAACCAGGGAAGGAAGTCTTACCCCCTAAGGACACCATCCGTGTCAGTCCTGTATGTAATAATACATGTAGCCCCATTTACGGGTGTGCTTGATTCTAGTGGCGATGTTCAGGTTGGAGTGCAGGTTTTTGAGAGCCAATTTCGGATGTTGTTGTAACACTGGAGATGCCGAGCAGCAACACCATCAGCATGCGCCTACTAGGATCGTAGATCCGCTCAGCAGTGCCACGTGCTGAATTGACGCTTTGGGTGACTGATTTTGCCTTTACCTTTCCCTTTCGGATGCGCCATCTCCCCTGCACTGCCGAGTCAATCCCTCGGGAGAGACAGCTGCACACACCCCAACCAGGCGGATACGTGGCACCTGATGAAGCCCGAGCCGCGGCGATGCCAGCAGAAAAGGGTGGCCGCGGCAGAGGCGAGGGTGGCTACCGCGGGGAAGAAGCAGTGGCAGGAGGGATGGATGAAAGCGCTGGGGTTGATGGGCCGGAAAAAAATAATTCGTGTGACAAATGGTGTGACTTTTCTTATTTGGTGTTCTCATTGTTTTGGCTTTGGTTTGTGTTGCTTCGGCTTTGTGTTTGGTCTTTTTGAGTACGAGGTCGAGCCTGAACGAGTAGGATTTTACTTTCGAGGTTTTCACAGGATGTTTGGTTGTGAACAGCGATCACAACCTGAGGGAGCAGGTGGTAGAGGAGATTTTATTCTTGGAAAATTGGGATGCAGGGACTTTGAAGACCTCGAAGCAGACGTACGCTGAAGAGTTGGGGATGGAGTTTGGGGTAGAGTACGGGAAGGAAATTCCTCTTGCTGTAGGGTTGAAGCTTTCAGAGTTTGACCAAGATGAAGAAGTGGTATCAAGGCCTTTTCGTGAGCTGATAGGATCATTGATGTGGCTGGCAACGCAAACGAGGCCAGATATCGCGAACGCAGTGAGAGCGGTAGCACGGTAGTGTGCTTCTTCCAAAGAAATTCATTGGAGAGCAGGTCTTGGTATTTTGGGGTATGTGGTAAGGACTAGTGACTTGGGTATTACATTCAGGAGGGGTAGTGTAGCAGGGTTGAGCATGGAGGTGTTCGCAGACGCAGACTATGCAAGTATAAGGCTGCCGATAGGAGGTCTGTGTCAGGAGGGTTGGTGATGTGTGGGGGGGGATGTATTTCTTGGTTTTCAAGGACGCAGAAGTGCGTTACGTTAAGCACGACAGAGGCGGAGTATAGTATGTCTCCCTTGCGGATGTGATGAAGGAAGTGTTGTTTCTGAGGCAAGTATGGCGTTTCATGTTGCCAGAAGCCGATATGCCGTGTATTCCGGTGTTCGAGGATAACCAGGGGGCTATTCAGTTGGCGCAGAACCCGATTAGCAACAGTAACTCGAAGCACATCGACGTAAGGCACCACTTTATCAGGGATTTGGTATGCAGGAAGGAGATTTCGATTTTTCACGTGGAATCGGCGTATCAACATGCTGACTTCCTCACGAAGGCACTTAACGTGGGAAATTTCGAGTTTCATCGTAACTTCGTAATCAGTATGGATTAACATTTTGATGTTTGGGTTTATTTTGTGTGTGATCAAACAACTAGGGTGGCAACATTTTGCATTTTTGCCTATGGATTTTCTCAATGGATGGTGTTCTAGGCTGGGGGGCAATTAGTTCACTGAAGCTCGAAGAAGTATATCTGATATGACCGGGGATGGGAATTGATGTCTAGCCAGTGAGGCTATTGTTCTGGAGTTGAGTTGAGTTTCTGAGTTTATTTTCTTGTGTTTTGGAGTTCTTGAGGATCGAAAAAGACATGGCATGGTCACAAGCAGGGGGGCTGATAGATATACTTGTAGCAATGCCAAGTGGATGTAGGATTGTGTGGTACGTGGAATGTATTTCCAGGGTGTGCAAGGTACCCCTGTTGTACATTGCGTCGCCCCCTCATGGTGGTGCGGGCACGCGTGCGTGCAGTCCATGTCTGTTCATGTGTTTATTCATGTGTTCATGTGTGTGTTCATGTGTTCATGTGAGTCCATGTTTTTCATGTGAAGAAGAAGTCTACACAACAAACCCAGCACATCTTTCCTCCTTGGCGCGAGTTCGCCGAGTTGCCGACACCCTATTCAACACACGTCTTGCGACAAGCTACCCCCAGTTCGGATCATCCTAACATGTTGGTCGATCCTTTTTCACCGACCAAAAAAAAACAGACGCTGCAACGGCTGCTGTCACACATACATGCACCTTCCCACCGAAATGGTTTTTCGGTGATATCTCCTCACAGAGTGAAGCAGCGCCTACTGTAAAGCTATCCCTCGCGAGCTGTGTGTATGGTCCGTCTTGGGTGGCGGCTGACAGAGACCACAGGGCGATAGGAGGCACGGGAATGGAGGTGCCGAGAGTCGACAGCACGCTGAAAAAATGCCCACCGCGCCAGCAACCATTTTTTTTGCTCTTGTACCCCTGTCAAAACTTTGGTTTACCGGTACTCCCTCGCCACCCACTCTAGCAACAGCGATGACAAAGGTATGCGCCACGAGCTGTGTGTATGGTCCGTCTTGTGTGGTGGCTGATACAGACTAGGAGGCTATAGGACGCTCAGAAATTGTGAGCGCGAGAGTGGTGGACAAACGGGAAAAATGATCCGCCGCATCTTCAAGCAACTTTTTTCGTTCTTTTGCCCGTGTCGCAACTTTGGTTTGCCCGTACTCCCTCGCCACCCACTCAAGCAACAGCGATGATAAAGGCATGCGCCACGAGCTGTGCGTATGGTTCGTCTTGTGTGATGATTGATACAGACCAGGAGGCTATAGGACGCCCAAAAGTTGGGTTCGCAAGGTTGACAGTACACGAAAAATGACCCACCGCTGCTGCGTCCAGGCTCTCTCGGTTTACCTCTTGTTTGCCGCACACATCGGGTTGTCCACCTGTGGTCCAGCCCACTGAAAAAACATTGGCTACCGCCGGTGGTGCCACCGACTCTGTACCAGCAACATGACACAACTCGTGTGACCACTGTTAGAGTTTGCGGTGGGCCGTGGAGAGATTCAAGTTTGTAGGTAGGAGTGATGTGGTTGTGACCAAAAACAGACAACAGTTTTGGACAGCCTGCACTTGTCCAAAACTGCCCCAAAAAAAGACAGGATGGGCTGTCCAAAACGGGTTGTCTTTTTCTGGCGATCTTTTTTTGAGGAAAAAAGACATTCGACAGTTTCGGAAACAAAAAAAAAACTGAAATAAGGAAATATATTTTGAGTTAAGCCATCGTTCTGAGGATCGTTCCTGACAGTCTCGCCAGAACCCAAGATAAGGGAAAAATAATCAGATTTAACAGCGGAGGGAGGCTCGTTTTGTGGAAAATTTTGCCAACTTTTCGATTTAGCAGCTTTCTTTGAAATAACACATCAGGCACCACACACAAAACACATCATCAGGCACCACCCACACACACACACACACAGTCTGCAAGAGCATGTCCAGCGGCCGCCCAAATAAAACCCAGCGCCCAGCGCAAAGGCCCTGGAGTTGGCGCGCCACCAACACAGAAAGGGGGAGGCTGCACGGTCAGAAAACCAAGTTGGGGTTGGTTGTTGCGCGGCCTTTTAGGTCAGCAACACGCGCCCGTGACACACAGGTTGAGGCAAGGGGGAGAAAGAGCGCCGGAACGAACCCGCGGCAACCGACGACGCAGAGGAGGTGGCAGCACCGCCAGCAAAGGGCAGAGAGGAGGAGGAAGAGCACGCAGTTGCCTTCTGGTGACGCGCCGCAAGAAGGAGTATTCTCTGCTTCTACTTGAGAGAGCGTGTATGACTTCGATGTGCCCCCGCCCCAAAAAAAACACCCTCTCCGCAACGCTTGAAATAAATGCGATACACAGCACTACTTCGTACAGGGCTGCCGGGCAGTATGTGTACTTCCTGTCGCTGTTGTTCTGGTGCGGGTTCGTGTGCTGGCGTCAAGGGGGCAACAGACACGCACACGCATGCATGCACGCACATTCAACAGCAGCAGTGGGAGCGCTGTGATCAGGGTGCAGCTGTCACGCAGCGCACCACAAAAAACAGCAGTACCTGCGAACAGGGGAAGTTCGTTGAGTGACTGTCGTCCCACAGCCAATCACATGAAGCCGCCTTAAATCGAAAAATATTCGCCTGCAGGAAGTTTCCAGGAAACTTTCTGATCTCAAAATCTGTTTCCTTATCTCAGCAAATTTGGAGCCCCAGTCCGAAACTGTGAATTGTAAGAAGACCTTCTACGGCCAGTTGTCTTTTTTTGAGAAGAAAAAAAGAAAAAGATCATAAAAAAAGACAACCTGCAAGAAATGGCCTACACAACGAAACCATCTCTCTCTATCATAGACATTTCTCTTTTTGGGACCCCAGAAAACCGAACCAAGACATGCGAACCTACGCGCCTCCAGGGCGGCACAACAAGAACCCAAATACACACGTAGATCCGGGAGATGTTCCGAATTCTTCCGTGGACAATATAAACTACAGTTTGTTCGGTCTTCGACAACAAACTTTCGTATGTTTGGACAGGACATCTTTACTTCCGAATAGCATCAACTTTTTCCCTCTTTACACTTTTGCCTCCATTGATACACTATTTTCACTGTTCCTTCTACTGTACCTTGTACTCTCACTCTCCTATCCACCTTCGGCTTGCGATGCGGGCCCCGCCGCCCCCAATGGGCGGCGGGGCCCTTCTAGACTATGCCCTGCGTAATTCGAAACACGAAGTACGCGAAGATCAATAGATAGAGCAGAGTGGTTCGGTGACCGGCAGGTGTTCTCATGCAGGATATCTCTGTTCGACGCCCCCGCCCGATATTCACAGTCAGCACAATGCGTCGCTCGGCCTGTTGTCTTCCTACGCTACACCTTAGGAACGGCAAGATGAAACTATGGCACAATCCGCGGGCTACTGATTGTTCCCAAGCAAACGGCCCTTGGCCCACCCGAGGAAGCGACGCAGAACTCAATGACGACGCCAGATGCTAAGACCCACAACCGGGTACCACTTGCTTCATGAGGACGCGGCCTCTCTTCGACTTGACTTTCACATGCAGGACGACTCCTCTGGTGAATGCCGTTGTGAAATCGGTGATCCAGAGCGCAGGGTGGGCGGGGGACGAAGAAAAATGGTGAAGGTCGCTAGCACTTAGGATCTATCGATGTACATGGCATTTTTGAAGCAGGTGGCATTGAGCTTCCTCCATCTGCGACACGACACACAGAAGTCAGGCACGTGACGGCTTGCCGCGAGATATTCATCAATCAGTATAGCCTATGTACGCCCAAGCTCAATTTCTCTCTCGAGGCCGAATCATACCCTATCTTGACCCACCTCGCTGTGGAGCTGTTTATAGTTACACCCACAGCGTCGACCACATTCAGGAGGCAGTCGTGTCCACAGCCCAGGAACTCGTAATAGATCAAAGTGGCACCATGCTGCCAAAAGAATGCTACAGCAGTAGTGTAGAAAAGGAGAGGCTCTTGAAACATTGCTACGGTAGCATCTGACTCACATGATGGTAAACTCCACCTTGATCGGGGTTTCGCCCTCTTTGATGCCGTTCTCGTCTTGCTCAACCGCAGACGTAGAGCGTCTACAGCAGCACATGTCCCAACCCCCTGGTACGGGAATGGTCTGCAAGTAGATACCAGCACAACAGCGCAGAATCGAAAGAGAAAGGCAAGGCCAGTTGCAGCAGCACAGATTCGAAACAAAGTATACAACATCTATTTTTCGAGGAGTTGTATGTACCGGTGGTGGCAACAAATATCAAGGACAGCCCGCCTTGAAAAATCATTACAGTCGGCACCAGAGGCCGACGGCAAAAGCTCACCAAACTCGTTGTCAAGGATATAGAACAAGAGGTATTCGAAGAGGAGCTACTGTATCGTGAGGTGTCAAGAGTTGGAATAATCATCACGATGTGATGTAAAAAACAGTGTGGATGAAGTTGGGAGGCTCTTGCTACTGAGTTTACACCCAAAACCACAACTAGAGGTAAATGAATCGTCGGAAAACTCTAAACGTACTTCCTCGCCTACGAGTTGGGGTAGAACCACAATGCTCGCACTGTGACGTTTACCAGTGGTTCCGCTCGATGAGAAAATACCCCGAAATGCAAGCTGCAAGGGTTTCAACACAGCAGTATGCGCTTCTTACATAGACACCAGCACTCGAGAGAGATACGAGGAGGTCGTGTAAAAATCAACAAACCACACCTTGCTGTGCCTGTTCGGAATTGATTCATTCCAAAGTATCGGCTCATAAACCTACCTCGGAGACCGTAATGTGCACCGCTCCAATACCACCGATGCTGTCCAACCTGTTTCGTCCTTCCTTCACCTCGCTAGCGCCGCACGAGCCGAATGCCAGTTTACAGTCGCTTCCCACGGTGTAGTCAAAATCTTTCTGAGCACCGCGAGTACGGCAATATTGCGGCGAATACACAGTCGGGAAAGGAATGTGTGAGCTTCGGATGCATTGCCGGACATAGATTTCACGCGCGCGTGTGCTAGTCTTCCACTTCTTGAGTTGGCTGTGGTTGGCGAAACTATCAAGAAAACCCGGAGGAGTTGAGGCCGCAAATATGTCATATCCAAGGAAAACAATACTCCGGATGTTTGCAACAGCTTGGATGGACATATAACTGACCACTTTTGTTTTTATTGAACACCAAGAGATCGCCTATTGTTGGTGTTGCACACCAGTCTCGTTCCGTACCGTGTGGCCATTCGGGTAGGCTTCGCCTTTGAGCAAGACAGCCTCGAAGAATTTGGCGTCCCAGGTCCCCCGCTGGACGAGGGGGTGGTTTTCCGTTTGTTTGGTCACACATTCAATGATCGAGGGAGGCGTTCGGACGACACAGGGCGCGAAAACAACAACACACGACAGTGTCTGAGTAAAAGGATGTTGTGAGCGAGTGGTGATCAATAAATGGGCGATGGGGTGGTGCGTACGTACAAAACGAAGGCTGCAACGATATGTTTCAACACGGTGGCGAAAGCAAAGCTGATTTCGCCCGCAATACGCAAAACCTTAACCATAGCCTTCGCCAGACGTGGCACAACCATCAGCCGATCACTGTAGCTACCCCGTGAACGATAGGGAAAACTTCAGCTCACGGTTTGCTACAACATGCCGCAAGAAGACAGGTCCGACCTACCCCTGAGGTGAGAATGCCGTACGACGAGCCACAGGTGATTCCATTCATCTCAGGTGCGGAGGTCGGGTATTTCGGCCTTGGACCGAGGGGACCGACATAGAGCGCGGCCCCTTGCACAACAGCCAGATCGGGACTTGTCGCAACTACCACCTGAACGCTCTTGTTGGGGTACTCCTCGAGGACACTCTTCCTAACCGCCGCCTGCTCGTCAATGATGTGCAATCGGCCAGTTGATGGTCGAAGGGCAGGGGAACCTCTATGTTGTTATGGTGGTGTAAGGCAAACGGTACACAATAATAACTGCAAGTGAAGTAACGAGATGCAGGGCAGGACACGATGTAATGGGTTAGACATATTGCTCGACGACGAAAACAAAGACCGGCCCTGTCTGCCGCTACATACGCGCGCCAACTACTTCCGTCTGCAATTTGTGGAATCAGCATATGCAGATCTACGGTACCTGAACATGCATGCTGCCCGCGAATCCGCCCACCATGACGACTGACTTAAGTCCCCGTAGCTCTTCCGTTTTTAGCTTCTCCGACACCGCCCCCGCAATCCTGGTTAGTTTTTCAGGTTTGGTAGCACAATTGTAGTCGTAAAAGACGGGAAAGTTCAGGGCGACGGATTCCATCAGGCCCTCGACCAAGCATCATTCACGCTCGGAGCAAAATACCGTTGGTCCGAGGTTGGTGGTACTCCGTGGGTGAACAAGTTACAATCCGGCCGGAGGTCGTGACCCATCAAGCGATCAAGAGCCGCAACCACACATGTGTTGCACATGTGTTGGTAAAGTTTCTGGAAAGCGTTCATCACCTGTCGCACTGTGTCCTGAAAAAGCGTGTCAACAGAGCCGGCTTCAAGACCAACTCCGTCCCAGAGCCGCCCACCAAGTCCTGGCCAGAAGATTTTCGGTTGAATTGAATGCAACGACTCAACTGGGCAAGTAGCGAGTTGGTGAAGGCGCATAACCAAGGAAGGTCCCATTTGTAGTAGCGTTGACAGCGGCGGCCCGAACTCAGGCACAGATTGAGCGGCGGGTGCGCATGCTTCCAACATTGTTTTTCCTCCGGCTTTCTATTCGTGCCTGCCGCTCATATGGTCGAAAGGATATCTGGAGGGCACTTCCGACCCGTGAACCTCATGGCTCAAGGACATTCAAGGTTGCCACAGCGTACTCTCTAACTTGTTTGTTCATTCTATCGTGACGTACAGTAGTACTCGGGAACAACTGGTGGTGTCCTCCTCGTATCCGCGAGATTTTATCGTGTTCTATTCCCTCAGGTCGAGGAGGGACTACCACTTTCGGTAGGACGTGCGTTGGAAAAAATAACGAATTGGGTACGACTGTCCCGTAGAAGCCATACATATGACGTATGCACATCAAAGAAATGACCATCACTCAGGGCGATTTGGGAGCCTTTTGAAAGGAAGAGAGGGTCATGTGTGGGAGCCCCGTCTGAAAATGGATAGAGAAAAACCATACGCCGAACATTATGGGAAATTCGGCGTCAAGATAAACCTCCCACCTGTCCTCCGTTGTTGGTCTTTTTTCGGGCTGTGTCCATCGCCATCGCCGGCTGGCTCACACCCAACGCTTCCACCATCTCGCTCATGTCGATTCTGCACTCGGGTTTGTCAACACTCAAGCCAACTTTTGCTTCTTCCCAGTTCTTCCAATAGCATTGGCAATATGGGAAAACAAAACACGAAAATTTGGCGGGTTTCAGGAGTCATCTAGGCGAGGCATCCATCGGGCACCATGGCGGTTTCGCGACTGGAAGTTTGGGCTCACGGCAGTACGAGAGAAAAACAGTAGAAACAATGGACAACCCATCCTGGAAAACAACGTCACACTTCACGCGGGTGGGCAGGGTTCGTGAATGGCCACATCAACTATTTGGCCGTGTAAAGACTGTAGACGATTGGAACGATGGTGATCTTCTCCAACGGTCGATTGGAAAATCGGCACAGGGGCCGACACTCCCAAAGGAGTACCGGCACCACAACAAAACCCGAGCAAGGTAACTCACCTGCAGAACTTTGTACATGCCGTCCCTCTCGAACGACTCGAGCTGGAAGTGGCCCGCTCGGGGGGCGACAGAGTCAGCGAACGTCTGGACATGGAGATCACACGCCGCAGTCCGTGCACGAAAAAGTCGAAGATTGAGGTATGCATGCATGCAACCAGGTAGCGCAATTTCGTTGATTCAATCCTCCCAGCGAGTTGTAGAGAGGTGCAGGGTGCTCACCGTTGTTTAATGATCCCCTTTCTCTTCGCTTCTGCGTTTCTTGCTAGGGACAGCCACATCCTACAACCAAAAGCACCACGCACCATGAGGAAGACGCGGAATTGCTCGTCCACGTATGTGGAACCCCACGATTCGCTGATGTTGTCTCCCACTTGATCGAGGATCGGCGGGCCGAGTTGGGCGAGCTTAAACGCGCAAATGTCCACGGTGCCTCCTCCGCAGTCAACCACCTAGCGTTGGCAAGTTTATTCGGTGATGGGGCACCAACAACGCCAAAAGCAAGATACATCGCACACCACCTGTGTTTATTGCCTCGCCGTGCCACGCCGGTCAGTCGAGTGGAATCAGTTGTTCGAAACGCCTCGAGGCAGTTGCGAATTGCGCACTGCAGCGGCATGTGTTGTAATTGTAACGTGAAATATGCCAGACCATCGAAGAAGTGGTGGCATGATACATCTTCCGTATAACGTTCGTCCACGGTTTCAGAACACGGAAAAGGCAAACCGTTCTAGAAACGGCTGTACGTTGCATTCTGAGAACAACTCACTCACCAAATACATGTCGTTGACACTCCAGTCCAGTCTGTCCTCGAGCGCGAGGCAGGCGGCCACGGGCTCCTTGCATATCGTAAGATGCTTTGGGCGCGATTGAACATGCAGAAATACAAGAGAAAAAGAAGGATTCGTTGAAGAAGCCCCGAGAGTGTAGGTTTCAGCCTTGTCCACGCCACGGCCGGAACTAGGTAACTGCAAATACAATTTCCGCGCTCAAGCAGCATGCGCGGTCTACGAGTATCAGCAGAGGCGATCGGTCCATTTATCGCCACCAGTACTCGGAAAGGAAATGGAGTTTTGTGTCGCGCCCCACGGCTGAATGTTGGAATGATCGATATGCACTTGTCAAAGAGGGGAAACGCATGATCACCTCCGCATCATCTTCGCCGTTGATGAGGCCGGCCCTGATGGCGGCATCCGACATGAACTTTGTCGCCGGCGCCGTGCAGCATGCAGGAACGGTCAACACCCACGACACGCGATTGGGCTTCACGCGCGCCCTGGCCAAGTTCTCCAAAGCGGCCTAGATACGGTGGGGATGTGGAAACATTTCAGCGAGAAAGGTCAATGAAGAGTATGGGCAAGCATGGATTGAGCTCACAGGTTCCAGCCGTGATGGGGACGATGAAATCGGCAAGATTTACCGCAAAATACCTTGCCACCAGCAAGGTGGGCTCGAAGCCAGTCTGGATCTAAGAAAAAAACCGTTTACGAAAATCGTCACCCGCTTGGCTCGTCTGGTGCACCTGATAAGCTGGCGGCTCAAAGCTGACTTTTGTTCGCGGGTGCCCACGCTTCAGTAAATATGAAATCGCAGCCATCAATTGAGCTGAGTGACGACAATAATTATCAACTCTTCACGGCCTCGAAGTGTTGTCCTTGCGTGCCCACCTGAGGCAAGGCGGGTGTGTCTGCAATCTTACACGCCAGGCGGACAGATCGGTAAGCATCGTGTGGGAGCATCGGGAGATTCGTGGTGCACCAGGAACGATACTCCAAAAGTAAAAGCGGCCTGGGCGGGACTGGTTGAAAATTAACCTCCCCGCGAACCGCGTGGAAATGAGCAGCCAGACGGGTTTTGGCGTATTGGCATAATTAACCACAACCTTGGGAATGTGAAGATAGACAAATACTGTGGGTAGATGGAAGCACACGTGAAAATTGATGGAGGTACCGATGACAGCATCTGATAAATATATTGATTGCGATAGCTAAAGTGTAACCATTGGCTGTCAATTCAATAAATTAATTGTACACGGTGTCTGCATATCTATCAAACATATTATTTCAGGAGCAGTTGAAATATTCTCTCCCCCCATAAGCGACAGAGGGAAACTCCATTCACTTGAACTACTATCTGTCGTAAAATCGCGCCTTGAGAGCGGGTTCGGGGGAGGGAATGTCCCCGTCACAAACTCAAACTGGCACGTACAGGGTATTACTTCACTTAGTGCCGTACAGCATTCCATTTCGTCCCTTGAGGGCAGGTGGGGGGGGGAGGCGTCGGGGGGGATTGTCTCGGATACAATTTGGGTTGGTGCTGCAAGGGCGCATAAATTGTACCTACCCGACAATACTATATTTTGGACCGGGGGATAGGACCCCCCTACCCGACAATACTATATTTTGGACCTCTCTGGGGGGGGGGGATAGGACCCCCTCCCCAACTCCATACAATTTCCTATTCTAAATCCTTTATAAAGGGGGCACATGTCATGCACGGGGGTAGTTCAATCCACGTAGCCCATGGCGACCTTGCGGGCACCGCAGCCGCGCTACCGTCCGTAGCAGAGGTGAGAGAAAGTGAGAGTAGTCAGTCTCCAATGGGTAGGGATCCCTATGAACGACCCCGTCGACAAGACGGCCCTTCGGCTGTCAGAGCCCCCACCACACGCCAAAAGGTCCCACACCAGAAGAATACGGCTGGTAAAGCCCCCGTAACACGCCGTAAGATCTCGCCGGGGGCGCGGGGGGGATTATACAGTAGTACAGACGACGAGTCACTCTCAGACGAGTCGTCAGCGGAGACAGGGGACTCTGTTGAGGACGAGAGCTCCGAGTCGGAGGAGGATTGGAGGAGGATTTCGAGGAGGAGAGGGCGGCTGGCAGGGAGGGAAAGGAGAAAGAGGAGGAGGAAGGAGGGGGAGGAGGGGGGGGGTGGGGGAGTGGTGTTTGGTTTTTT